AATTTATCAAGCGAGACTGTTTAGTTTTAGCAATGACAAATGTATTGCACCAATAATACTGTCAACTTGATTCTTTAAGATGGTTATCCTGATTTTCAAGTTTGTCTAGCATAAAGTACCCTATATGTGGATATACTTTGATAGTAATGTTAACTTTCTGAAGAATAAATTTTGTTCGGAGAATATTATTTATTGGTAATTGGAATCGACTACTTGATTACACATCAAAGCTATCATTTCATCAATGATCTATATTCTATATCATGATCTTCCATAATATCATAAATTCTTTTGTACTAGGTAAATTTGAATTTATGCATTCTTGTTATAATTTACAATAAACTCTTCAAATGTTATCATTTGTCAGCATTTTATCTTAATAATCGATCCGAATAACAGTAAAAAAAACTAAGAATTTGTCAGCAGCTTCTAGAAGAAAATTTATTCTTGAAGTAGAGCTTCTATTGTTATTAGATGAATTTTTTAAAGATAATCCCCTAGGTAAACTTTTTTTTTCATACTCTTGACTTACGCAGACCTCAAGATTTGCCCATAGCACATGACTTTCTCTTTTTTCAAATTCTCAATTATCTCATGCGTATATACTAAAAAAGGTTTGCTTAGGATGCTGAAACCACAGATTTATTTCATTGATTGAGGGAAAACGAAATCAGAAACAAACTGATTTATTTCATGGATAAATCATATAGAACAAATTCCAATTTCGAGAACAAAAGTTTTGAAATAAAAATCAACTAAAATTAAGTCGTTTCATCATAACCTAGATTCTTTTTTAATTAATATTCTAAGAATCTCTTTCATTGTTTAGATGATGACATGTGTATGCTCTTCTGTTCTTCATTTCTAGTGGTATTATTTTTTCTTTTTTGAGTTAGTCATGCACAATTCTATCAAAGATACAAATAAATTGGATTAAGGTTATACGAGCTATTCTTCTAAAGTAGAATCGTCATTTTGTACTTTAATTAATTTTTTTAATTATAATAACAATTAACAATGAGTTTTGTATTGTCCTTAAAATGAGATTTGTTTTTCTTTTCATCAATTTGAATTTCGCTTCAATGAGATTCGAGTTATCTCTACAATGATAAAAAATTTACTTTAATTATAGTCATAACAATGAAAAAACATGGATTGATTTTCATTGTAACTTTATATAAATACAGGGTGTTATATATAATGCGCATTTGATTTTAGCGACATATGTGAACGAAAACTACAATAAATAAAAGTCAATCTAATTAAAGCCAATGCTTAGAACAATCCCTCGACGTTTTTGTGAAATAGTCGGTTGTTCTTGTGTCTCTGAAGATATATTAACAAGTGTTTTTAATATTCAGCATTGAGAAGCGATTGTTGAATTATTTTTATCAAGATTTCTATGTAACTTTTTTTCAAATAATTGAAAAGAATTTATATGTTTTTGATTAAAGATTGACAATGTTTAAGAATAAAATCAAATATCCAATGTAGATATAATGTAAATAATGATGATTTTGAAATATAATTCATTCGTGGAATAAAATGAAAATTTTTTTCTTTTAGAATTGTTTCAATATCTTTATTTAATGTTTTTAATATAACACCTATTAGATACTTTTCTTCAAAATTAGTTAATAATGGTTGATCAGTAGCTCAAAATGATTGTTATCGGATTAATATCAATTTTATGGATGAAAGTAATATTTGGTGATGGTTAGTGAATAGAAATTTTCGTTGTTGTAACTTTTCTAGGACGTATTGACATTGTTTCTATCTGTATCAATAAAGAATTGTTATGCCTACTGTGTAGTCTGTATTGATTTCGATTTTCTCTCGAATTTATATTACCTTGTCATTGGTTTTAGTTTTTTTTCTGTTCTTCTGCTTCGAATATATTAAATGCCATGTTACCTTTCGTTGAAATCAATTGAATGTATCAGCAATCAAAAATTAGACAATAATCATGATCGAGAAGTGATATTTGATTCGAAAATAGTTATCGAACAGATCGATTTGTGCAAATGAAATTTATAATTATAGATTGAATTCGGCTATGACTATAAATTAATATGTTTTTTGAATTTATTATTTATCTAAAAATAATTGAAACTTAAATTGAATGTCGATGCTAGTTGAATGTATTGTTTTTTGTCTTCTGATTCATACTAATTTATTTTTTTTTGTAATATATTTTATACGAAAAACAAATTTGAAATTTTTTTTCAAAATCTATAGTCAATAGCAAATAGTCTATTGAAGAAAAATCGAAGAAAATAAAGAGGAATTTCTATATATTTAACCTTTTGTTTGTTGTGATATTGTATGATATCAAGAATATGTTTATTTAATGAAAAGAATCATTATTGATTACCTTACAAACAGAATAACAATTAACATCTAGGCACAAACGAAATCATTCGAAAAAATCAACACTCTTGTTACAAAAAACTACGGTGCATGATCAAAGAAATTACGCTTCATTGACTGTGACTGACGAAATTAAGTGTTGAAAGGGCATGTTTTTCCATTAAAATCGTGACTATGTAATGAAATGGAATAGGCGCAATATTTTTTTGTTATGTGGGCATTTCTATATTGAAACGTGAAACATAGAACGGGAATTGAATAAAGAAAAAGAGAAAAAAAAATAAGACAATTGACAAAGACCCCTTTTCCTAACATATGTGTCATTCGAAACTTCGTACATATACAAAGTTACCGGTAACTCATCATCGTGTTTTACATATCGTTGGCTAATTGAATCGTGTTTACTTTCTTTTTTCTTTCCAATTCAGTTTTTATTTAACGATCGCAATATTTTTCTATGAATCATTGATATTGTGTATAAACATTGCTGACATATATATGAAGTATAGTCTTCGAAACTACGATACAAGCATTATTTACTAAGAACTATATATGTATACTGATACATCTGTTGAGAACAATTCAAAGATTCAAACGGAATATAATGCAAGTAAACGAGTACTATCTTGTACTAAAACTTTCATCAAACGATTGATTGCACGTAAACCAATGGAAATACTACAAGCTGAAATTGATACACGAAATGAATTGAGACGTGATCTAAATTGGATTCAATTACTTGCTATAGGTCTTGGCAGTATTATTGGTAAGTAATATTGAAAATAATACATGTGATAAGAGTTGTGAATGGTCTGTTCAGGTGCTGGGATATTTGTATTAAGTGGACAAGCTGCTGCAAAATATTCTGGCCCATCGATCATCATTTCATTTATTATAACAGGTGTTATTGCTTTATTATCATCTTTATCATATTCAGAATTAGGAGCAATGATGCCTAGTTCTGGATCAGTTTACACATATACTTATGCAGGTCAGTTAAGTGATTGTGTAGGTATTTTGCTTTCATAAACAATTGTTTTTTATTGTTTCAGCCATAGGAGGTATACAATCAAAAGTATTGTTATAAGAAATTCGTTTTTTCTTATTCATTGTAGAATATTTAGCATGGTTTATTGGATGGAATTCCGCGCTAGTTCATCTAGTCTCCGTTTTGACAGTAGTAGTTGCTTGGAGCAAGCATGTTGTCCTA